TTGTCGATTATGATCGAGTTGTTACTTGCTCATGGATGTGAAATCTCACTTTTGTAAGGGAATTGCCTTATGTGTGTGAGATTTAGCAATGAAGCACCTTGTGCGTGCGAGATCTTATCGTGTAAGTTCTTTTTAGTACACTATATGATTCTTTCTATTAATGTACGTACTTAAGCCTGTGTTTGTGTGAATATACTTGTATGAATATTTGCTCTTTCTTTGTTTAAGCTCAGTATTATTGTTATCCCACGATTGTGTGAATGTGTTCGTGATTTTAAGTGACTATTCCACTTTCTTAGTCTTATCTTGGTGCATGAATTATTGGTGTGCTCTCTCTTTGTTGTTTTAGCTCCAATATACCATGTCTTGTTAGTGTACTTAATGTGTTTTCCTTATCAATGTTGGTGATCAATATTGGTAGAATGTGTGTACGTGTGCGTCTCGTGTGCTAGCTTCTAGAGCCATTTGTGTGCTGTTCTTCTTGTATGACTCACCAATTTTTTAGCTTCCCAACATTGATAAATTAGTCACCTTGACACTTTGCTGGGTTTTCAGAACATCTGTTCACCTAATATGAATATAAAACACGTTATAGCTTCACACAGTCACCTTGGTTGACGGTCTTCACTTTCTTTGTTCTGAGAAGAAGCTGAGTCTTCTCTCATCCTTGAACAAGTTTATCTTGCTGGCTTTTCTTCCTCACTTGCCTGAGGCTTCGTCTCGGCAGTAGGGTGCCTTCCGTCTTTCTCTCTTGGGCCCCTCGTAGTTCTTATTCTAACTTCTAATAAATTTTTGCTAAGTCTAGCTTGGCACTTCACGTTTCTGGTATCTCATAGTTAATGATTCTTTCTTAGCTGGTTGACTTACCGTGGTAAGGATATTGTTAAAAATGTAGAGTTTGAGAGTAGCTAATAAGATGCGACCAGAAGAAACAATAGACCTCTTCTCAAGTGCGAATCCTACAGCTAGGTACAAGTCCTCGCACTGTCTTTATTTGTGTTTAGTATTTTCTACACTAGACTCAATATTTACTTAAGTGTTTCTCTCACACGCGGGAGTCCCGGTATCATCTACCGGTAATCCCGCTATATTTCTGATCACTCTATCATCAGAAATATTAGATCCTAGATCCAAAACTCAGTATTTGATAATCCCGGATTTTGGGTGTAGGATTGGCTTTTCTGACAATCTGGCCCCTGGATGTTACACTTGTGTGTGTGTGCTATTGATTTATTGATAAGTGGGGTCCCACAACTCCTTGTCCCCACTTTTTCTATATAAAAAAGGGCATCATATAAGTCATCAATTATTGAATATCACAAATACAATGTCAATTCGGTACTTCGGACCTACATAGTGTCATGTCCTATGAGATTATGACACGCCATATATGTATGGTAGTATTCACTAGAAACCAGGTGTTGGAAAGGATATGTAACCTTCAGAAGAGGGACATATTAAGTTACTTTTTATATGAATACAAATTCTTTGCGGGTTATGGGCCTTCCCTTTAGCACAATCGCACCCGTTATAAGTGTCACATCTATGGCGCAACACATCAACTTTGGCTGTATACACACTTGCACCATGCACAACACCGCAGCAAGTTCCTACAATACATAACATCTATAAACACTACACATTACACACACGTAAGTGCACATTACGTTCACTTAAGTCATCATAACTGGCATGGAAAGTGTCACCTGGTCAAAAGTAGGCAATAGTTGTAGCAGATGCCTTAAGCCGTCGCGTCTGGTCTGTTTGCCCCGTATACCGCTTCCTTGCACTCGCCAACAGCCACCTTGTTTTCATATTCAAATGTATGACAGACCTCAATCTTCGCAAAACCGGCATCAACGGCTGTACCGCCATCGTATTTGAATATCTTAGTGCCGCATAGGGCGGCACTCACTATGCTCGTAAGGTTAATCAATACCAAATTGTCTACCAGTGCACACTCAATACAAAGGTGATCACTAACTCGGCAGTGAAGCACAACCTACTGGCATCCCCGCCTTCAAGACATACACAGGCAATCCTCGTAACCACCGGGCATTTTAGGTGCCCAACCTCTATATGTCGTAAGTGTGGTGCTACTGATCATGTTGGCAAGAAATGCACCATTAATTATATCGCAAGCAAAGATAGTCTCGTCATATGCCGAATAAGTTGCTGTCGCACATAATGTATGAAATAATGGGAAGAAAATTTCCGGGGGTGTTTGATTTAGAGATAAATAAAATGAGGGGCGTGAGGTAGCCGGAAATCAAAAATCGATGGAAATGCACTCTTGTTATATAAGAATGACTGAGCCAAAATAGAGTTTTGGACCTCGCTTCCACAAGAATAATATTCAGGACATTTTGAATACTTCCTTTTAAATATAATAGCACCGAGAAGTTTTCCCTTAAAAATTACATTCTCAACCTAATTATCGACCCATAAATATGTGAGGAAAAAAAGAGCAGGCCTAAAATGGGCTAAATCAGCGCTAAATTGCAAGGCACAGTTCCAGTCTATATGAGTCGATTACAGAGCCAGAAAGATTATCATTGCAAAGGTCCTACACAGGCCTCGTATACTTTTGGATCCTTCAAAATGTCCCGAAATCACATTTGGTAAAAATAGTCTCATCGATAATAATTGTCCAGAAATGCAATTTGACTCAATGAATTTGAGTCTCACAGGTACAAGAAATTCCAACGGTGTCTAGATAAACTATTTGAGATACAAATAAGTTACAACAATAACAGTAACATCTTCTCTATAGCTCAGTTGGTAGAGCAACCGACTGTAGTGGTTACATATATCGGTAGGTCCCTGATTCGATTTCGGGTGGGGAGATTTTTATGAACTATTTT